CCCGGGGAGCGCCCTTCCCCCGCGGACATGCCCCGGGAGCGAGGGAGTGCCCTTCCCACGCGGACACGCCCCTGGGAGCGCCCTTCCCACGCGGACACGCCCCCGGGAGTGAGGGAGCACCCTTCCCCACGCGGACGCGTCCCCGGGAGTGAGGGAGGCCCCTGCCCCGGGAGGGAGGGAGTGCCCTTCCCACGCGGACACGCCCCTGGGAGCGCCCTTCCCACGCGGACACGCCCCCGGGAGTGAGGGAGCACCCTTCCCCACGCGGACGCGTCCCCGGGAGTGAGGGAGCACCCTTCCCCACGTGGACGCGCCCCCGGGAGCGAGGGAGCACCCTTCCCCACGTGGACGTGCCACCGTCCTAGAGGTTGGTGGTTGGAAGCCAGTGATAGATCAAGGTGTTGAATCTGTATTTCCCATTCCCCAAGCTCACACCCCGTCATCAGAGCCGTGTTTCCAAAGGTGTCCGCAGAACCCGGGGTTCTGCAAAGTGAAAATAAGGGTTCTGCCCCTAAGTTCCATTACCATAACACTTTATGATTTTAAAAAAATGTGTACACATTTCATGTGATTTTTGTTTTTAAATATGTACAATTAAACTCACTGTTGATCTCATGACCTTGTTTAGCATTTGTTTATTATCCTTACTTATTTCTGGTCTACTTTTTCAGCTCCATATATAAGACGTATTAGGGGTTCCACAAAATTCTTTCAAGTTTAAAAGGGTTCCGTGGCCAAATAAAATTGGGAAACACTGCATTAGACTATTCTTCACCTTCTTATATCCCACATAGGCTAGAACAGTGTTTCTCAACCAGTGGTACAAGTACCCGTAAGGGAACTTGAGAGAAGTCTAGGGAGTACATGAACACAACTGAAATTTGGAGAAAACTGAATTTTTGTTTTAAGTTTTATAGCACTTTATTATTTTAGTACCTTATACCCAAAAATTTCATTGCCTGCCCAGTTACAATTAAATTGTTTCCCCAGTTCCTTATAAATCTAAACCCCTCCTCCCTACACCATCGTCTCATCCATGCATTGAGTCTCTGAAGCTCTGCCTGCCTACCTGGCCCTGCGCTTGGAACTGGAAGCATTTCTGAGAATGCCACCATAGAGGTCCTGGATTTCAGTCTCTTTCCAAGCAGCCTAAATTTGACCTTCAGGACATCTCTGCTACCCTTCTCTACGTCATTGGTACCTACATGTACCATGATCACTGGCTTCTTCCCAGTACTACACACAAGTCTATCTTGATGCCTCGAGAGATCCGCAACCTTCGCACCAACCAGGCAAGTCACCATACAGTTCTCCCGGCCATTGCAAACCTAGCTATCTACATTTCTAATGATCGAATCCCCCATTACTAACACCTGCTTTTCCTAATGACTGGAGTTCCCTCCCCTGGAGAGGTAACTTAAGTGCAAGAGGATACTTCTACATCTGGAAGGAGGGTCTCAACTATGGGAAGGTTTCCCTCTGCTCCCGTTGACTGCTCTCCTTCCCTGAGCCTTTCATCCTCCTTAACAGCACAGGGGCGCAGGGGTCAGCCTGACCAGAGGTGGGACAATTCTATAGTGTCCTGGAAAGCTTCATCAACATACCTCTCTGCCTCCCTCAGCTCCTCCAGTTCAGCCACCCTGGCCTTCAAAGCCCTTACATGGTCTCTGAGGGCCAGAAGCTCCTTGCAGCGAATGCACACATACGCCACCCGCCCATAGGGCAGGTAATCATGCATGCAACACTGAGTGCAATAAATAGGATAGCCCTCACTCTGCTACTGGGCTTCTGCCTGCATTCTCTCCTACAGCTACCTAGGTTATTGACAGGTTTTTTAGTTAAATCAGGAAGTTTTGATTAAAACCTTTAAACTAAACTATAAAGAATGGCAAGATACCTAAGGGGATACCTTAGCCCCTTTCCAATTCCCTCTCAAAACTCCCTGTTTGCTCTCCCTGGTCACTGACTCACTGCTTTATAAAGCCCTGGCCTTCCTGATAGCCCCGCCTCCTGACTAAGGCTCAGCCAATTACCAGAGGCATCTAGATTTCTTTAGATGCTCACAGCTTCCAACTACTGGCCACAGCACACGCTCCTTCAAACAAACAAAACATCCCCACATCCTAGAGCACACTGAAGCATCTCTGAATTGCCCTTTATGTAACAATTTAGCCTCTCTTCCTGCCCTGCTGGTGACTCAGCCAGTCTTTGTAGATGCAGTTTCATCAGACACAGCAGCAGATGGCACCACACACCCAATGGAGTTACCTGAGCAGAATACTATCTTGCACTGAATAGGGATCCATACTAGGGATGTTAGATATCGTGTGTTTTAGTAATCGTGTAGCCGTACCAAATTTTTAACAGTTGCACACCTGGGCGGCTGGTAACGTAGGCAAGGGAAAGCACAGCCTTCCCCCAATTGCCTACATGCCCCGATTGCACAGGAGAGTTGGGGTGGGGGACACAGCACGGTGGCCCTCCAGGTGCCCAGGAAGGATCAGGCTGGGGGTGGGTGGGGCTTGGCTCCAGAGGTGGGCTTTGGGTGAAAGGGACAGAGCTGGAGCTTGCCTTCTCCAGCTGGGCCTTCATCTGCCACGCATGGTTACTAAAACATTCCCCGGGGGGTGGAGCTGACAGCCAGTATGCTCCTAGCTCCTGGCCCTACTCCCAGAGAGCTCCCTGCCACTCCGTGCTACTGCCTCTGATACTGCTTCTGGCAGAAATCCCTTAGAGCAACCCCAGTCTGCAGCAAGCCCAGGCCACAGAGGCAGCAGAAAGGGGGGGGCAACTGGTGGCTTCACAGAGCACTTGCTTGGGGGGATCCAGCTTTTAAGCATGCTGCTTCCTCTCTGGGAGGCAGTGGGGAGGGGCCAGGCATCTCCATGGGAAATTACATGCCTGGGGAACCAACTTAAAAGCCAGCTCCCCCACAGGCTCTCCCCTCCCCCCTCCTGCTGCCTCTGTATCAGAGGCAGCAAGGGGAAGGGGCATTGCGTATAGTTCTTAGGATTACTCGATAAGCCTATGCTTATTAGTTAATTGTTTAAATGTCTATACACTAACATCCCCAATCCGCATGGTGCAAGCTCATTAATTAATTTCCCCCTTGATGTGGGGAAGATATGCATATGTCTTTGTTCCACAAGTATCTAGGAGTGCTTTACAAACAAAATAAAAATCAAGCACCTTACCAGTTGATGCTTATTAGTAACTAGTTAACCTGTGCCTTGCCCAACTGGAGCAGCAACCTGCCCACAGCACAGGCCAGGGCAGGCTAGGAGCCAGAAGCTCTGTGGTTATCTGTGTGACCAATGGTTAATATTTTTATATATATTTATTTTATATCACTACTTTAGAGTGCAGAACATCATTCCTTTATGAAATCAAACTCACTGCTACTGAGCTAGGAATGTAATAGTGTAGTCAATTAACCAATAAGCAAAAGTTTTTAAGTTAATGCTATAGATTACGTGCATTTTCTTCTCTGCCCCTCCAGCAGGGTTCCCAGTAAGGGCTGCACCTGCACAGGTGTGCACCAAGAATTTCATTCCCGCCCACCCCCTCAGGAGTGCCTCGCAGCTGCAGCCCCCGCTGCTCTGTGGTGGGGGGGGAGGCACATGGCAGGGGACTGCCAAGGCCCTGCTGGGCAGCCACCACACAGCCTGCATGGCAGGTATTGGAGCTGGAGCCTGGGCTGCAGTACTAAAAATAGCACCATGGCCCAGCTCCCGTCTCAGCACATGGGGCAGTCCTCCTCCCCCCCACCCCTTGCTGTGTGGCCCAGTCCGGGGGAACAGATTCAGCCATAGCTGCGTGGTGGCTGCTGGGGTCAGGAGAGCAGTACCAAAAATAGCACTGCGGCTCCGGCGTAAGTCCTGGCACATGGAGCGTGCTGCCCTGTGTGCTGGGACTGGAACCAGGGCTACAGTGCTGTCCCAGCCACCCCAAGGCTAGGGCGCATGGCGGGCAGCTGTCCCTTGTGCCAGGACTGTGTCAGGATGGCAGAAGGGAAGAGAAGAGGCAGGAGGATAGCTAAGGGGAAGGTTGGGGAGAGGAGATGAAGTGGCTTGTGTTGAGGGGAAAGGAGGGGGCCAGGCAGGAGAAGAAAGGGGAAGGCACCAAGTGGCAGGATGGAGGAAACACAAATGCCAGGGGGCCAAGAGGAGACAATGAGGGGAAAGGGCAGGAAGAGCAGTGATTGAGTTTGAGTAGCGTGTCAGCCCTCTGTCTATCCTCCTCTGTCCCAAACTGAGGTTGAGTTATCACACATTCCCTGGCCTGGAAGCCCCTGAACGTTGGCACAGAGCAGCCAGATGGAAAATGTGAAAATCAAGACAATGAGGGGGATTATAGTTGTTATGTAAGACACAACACCTAATGTCGGCAGGGGGCTGATGACGTCCAGAGGTTTGGTCACCTCGCTATCTTGGATAAAGGGATTTCTCGGGCCCCTCCTGCATACATGGGGTTACATAGAGGCTGCGAGGAGGAGAAGTCTGGCAAACAGTGACTCTGGGTGAAGTGAGGGCAAGGCCCCTTTCCTGCCTCGACAAAGGAGCGAGCCCGTCTCATGGAGACTCACCCAGCAGAATCCTTGGGAAGCGATCTGTGCCGCCAGCGCCACCGCTCCGAGAGGGGCCAACACGGGAGACGCTGTCCCTAGGCCGGTGGAGCCCGGGCCCCACGTCCAGAGCCTCCCCACTCTTGCGTGGGCGGGTGAGGGCGCCTCTGCCCCACTCGCAGACCCCTCCCCCCTGCCCGGGCTGGGAAGTCTGTGCCTGGCCGGCCTTCCCCCTTCGCCCCGCCGGGGCCCCTGCGTGGAAACGCCGCGGGCTGCCCGGGGAGGGGCGGGG